ATCAGGTGGTCTGTCCCACAGATAGTCCATTAGCAAATCCTATCAGTTCTCCCTTCTGATAGTGAGATGTAGAGAGATGTATCTTGCAGATCCTATGCTAGCACCATGGGTCAACACCCCATCAGCCCTCACCTGGATTATTCTAGTAGTTTCCTAACTGTTCTCCATGATTCCACCCTTGCCTCCTTATTGCCTAGTCTCAACACAGCAGTCAGAGGTGTTCTTTAAAAGTATGCAAGTCCTGTTATATCAGTCCTCTGCTTAAAACCCTCCATGTCTCCCCACCTCATTCACAGTAAAAGCCAAAGTCCTTAAAACTGCAATAAGGTTCTACGTGATCCATGTGCTGCCCTGCACTGCTGACTCTTGCTCACTCTGCTCCAGGAACCAGCACCTTCTTGACATTCCTCCAGCTTGCCTGAGCTATCCTTGCTTCAGTGTCTTTGGCTAGGATCATACCTCAGGGCCTTTGCACTTGCTGGCCCTATATTGCTGCAATGCTGATTCTGCAAATATCAGCATGTGGTTCACTCCCACACTGCTTTCAAAACTTGACTCACATGTTAACTTTTCACCTTATGTTAAGTTGTACCTTTCTCCCACATTCCCCCAGTTCCCTCCCTCACTTTTCTTCTTGGCACCCGTGGCCTTCTAATATCCTATATGGTTCACTTCTTTGTCTTGTTTATCATCTGTCTCCCCTACCAGATTGCAGGGCTCCCTGAGGGCAGGCAGTTTTGTTTTGTTGACTGCTGTGTCTTTAGTGCCCAGCGTGTGCATCACAGACGTTCCTCTGCTGAATGTGTGTGCATGCTAAGTCACTTCAGTCATGTCTGACTCATGGTGACCTCATGGACTGTAGCCCGCCTCTGTCCATGGGATTCTCCAGGCAAGAGTAGTGGAGTGGGTTGCCGTGCTCTCCTCCAGGCGATCTTCCCAACCCAGGAATCAAACCCAAGTCTCTTATATCTCCTGCACTGGCAGCTGGATTCTTTACCACTAGCACCACCCAGGGAGCCCAGTCTGCTGAATAGAAGAGATTAAAATTGGGAATTGTATTGGCTGGGGTCAGGGTGGGTGGCAGCTCTAAAGAGGAGAGGAGGCCAGGAATAGGTGAGAAAAGGAAGGAATCATGGGCAAGCCCCTGAGGGAGAGGCAGAGGCTGGCTGTCTGGGGGGTGAGGGTTGAGGAGGGTCCAGGGGGTGGGGAGACAGGGACAGAAGAAGGGCCAGGCCCTCTGTTGGTCCTGCGGAGGGGAGGGGCAGGGACTGTCTGACTCACCCACATGACCACTAATGGGAGCAAACTGCTGTCCAAGTCCTGCAGACACCAGGTTTCTGAGGAACCCAGGTTTCCTGGTCATGCCCTGTAATGACTATTCCACCACAGAGTCCTGGAGTCACCTCGAGAGTTACTGTTGTCCTGTTGCCCCTCGTCATCATAGCTGGCATTTACTGCATGCTAGGCAATGTTCTAAGCAGTTTACGTGTATTCACCCTTCTAATCCTCACAAGAATGCTTCAAGTATGTGTGAAAGTATGTGATAACATGTCCTCCATTTTATGAAAGCTCAGAAAAATTCATAATTTGGAGACCAAGGCACAGAGAACTTAGTCATTTGCCCAAGTCAGTGACACCAAAGGATTTAACCTGAGATAGCCTGACTCCAGGCCCTGGACTCTTTACTCTTATGCCATCTGCCTCCTCAGTGGTGTCACTGTTGTTCATATGGTGTTTTAACTTTGCCTTTAGGACAGTGAAGCCCCAGTTCAGTCTTGACTTCTGAAGTGTTCATTCTAACAACCCCAGATCTGTACCCTCCCAGCCCCACATTCCAGCATAGGCATGGACTGTGGTTGCCACCAGCCATGCAGCTACCTCTACAGATGTTAGGCCTGCAGAAGAGGTCAGGGGTGGGTGAGGAGCAGTGACTGCTGTCCTCACAGAGCTGTGTTAGAGGCGTCTCCTGTCCCCCACCCACCGCTTCCGGGAGCTGCTTCCATTTCACGTCTGTGGTTGGAGAGAGCTGTGAATGCAGATTCCTTTCAGGTGTCATCTTCACCTTTGGGGCTCTCAGTCTGCTCCCCATCCCCCCGCGTCTTGGAGGTGCAGCTCTTAATGTCCCCATCCTTCCTTACTCCTGTCATAAATTAATTTACACCAAGGTGTTACTTTTTCTGTCAGGTTATGGCTTCCAGAGAGGCAAATGGCTTACTTCTGAGTCTCTCTTTTTTCTCTAAGAAGCCTGATAGGGCTGTGGTGAGACAAGACTGCATTCTTAGATCTCCTGTCCCCTTCCTTCCCTTCCCTCCCCTCAGCCCTGTGAAGGGAGCAAACATCTGTGTATTTTTCAGGCCAGGACAGATTCATGTTCCTGGAATCCAGGGCCCAGCTGTGAGGGCTGAGCATTTCCAATTTGTAAGCGGGTGTCACATCCATTCACAAGGCTGTGAGGGTGTTTGGAAAGTTATTTGCAGTTGTGTGCTGAGTTCCCATTTGCCCCCAAGCTGCTGTGTAGAACAAAGGACAACCTTGTGGGAACTCTCTTTTTGTGGGTGCCCCTGGGCTGTGTAGAAAGAACTGGGTCCTCCAGTCCTGTCTTCTCTCTCCTCCATCTTCACCCACCACCTCCACCCCTAGGGAGTTAGTCCTTTAACTTCATGGCGGTGGGACCAGCAGGGGACAGAACCGGCCTTGACTCCCGGTACATCGGCCCGACCTGCTCTTTCTGCAGCTGCTCACTGCAGCTGGTCGTGCCTGGCCTATAGTGACGTGCACACATCGGTCATGGGGGCTGCTGAGATTTCTGTCGATTTTCTGGGAAGAAGACAAATTTCCTTTGTTAGGACTTCCCAGGATGGTGCTTGTGCCAGTGAGGATTGGGGCTCCTCCAGCCGTCTCTCTGTAAACCACCAATCCCTGCTTTGCCCAAGTCGGAATGTCCGCAGCCCAGCCAGTTTAGCTAGAAAGCATCACAACTATAAATGTTACATGTGTAGTTGGTGCTCAAGAAGAAATGAGCCCCCAAGCTTTGATTTCCACTCCCATTTTAAAGTTTGTGAATTTGAGGCATGTGAGTAAGCCGACAGGGGGAGTGGGGTGAGAGTGTCACCCAGTAGTGACCTCGTTCTCAGCAGGCGGGGATGGAGAGGCGCTGTCTTCTAGCCCTCGGACTGGAGACTCCATGGATGGCTGCTCCTTCATTTTTAGACACTGGGGCATTTTTGCCTTTATTTTAGTTTTTATTCATTTAGAAGATTTTACTTACTGAAGTAATATGAGCACGTTGCCAAAAATGTAAAAATAGAGAAAAGGATAAACTGCTTAAAATCATAAGCTTTCTATCCTAACAATCATGTTAGCATTTGGGTAAATTTTTTCTGGCATTTTACTGTCTTGTTTTCCGATGCTTGGGGTATTGCCTTTTCATTATTTTAAAGCACTTTTAAATTATAAGAATAGTATGATGGACTTCTCACCTGTTGTTAATATTTTATACATGTGCTTTCTCTCTCTCCCTCTCTGTACAAACACACACACACACACAGATGTGTATGTGTGTGTGATTCTTATTTGCCTTTAATTTAGCTAGCCAGATGGCCTTAAGGGACATAGTGCTAGAAACTAGGATATCTGGATTTTCATCTCATCTCTGTCCTTGTTAGCTTTGCTGTTAAGTCTGTTTATCTTTCTAATTTCCTTTATCTCTAAAACATGAATAGTTAATTCTTGCTCTGTCATCATAAGATCAACTGAGATGATGAGTATTAAGGTGCTTGGTAAACTAAAAGGCCATGGCCTGAAGCAAGGCATGGTTAGGATTTACTTGTGACCCAGAGGTGCACGGATTTCCCCAGTGGCTCAGTGGTGAAGAATCTGCCTGCCATTGCAGGAGATACAGGTTCAATCCCTGGGTGGAGAAGTTCCCCTGGAGAAGAAAATGGCAACCCACTTCACTGTTCTTGCCTGGGAAATCCTGTGGACAAAGGAGCCTGGTGAGCTACAGTCCATGGGGTCGCAAAAGAGTTGGACGCGACTGAGTGACTAAACAACAACCTCAGAGGGGCAAACCCGGGTGACTGGGTTGAGGGCCTTTGCTTTCCCTTTTGTGGTAAAGGGGCCCAGACCCCCCCCATACTGTAGTCATTGCTGAGTCCTGGGGTGTCTTCGTCCCTGGGTGACAATGTAAGGGTATGAGTTTAGGATGAAGGGCACCTGCCCGTTTCACTGACTCCAAAAGTGGGGAAAATGCACCAGGATGATGTGGGAGGTCAATTCAACTCAGGCACTGTACTGCCCTCTTTGAGGGAAGTACCACAGAAAGACTGAGTGCCAGCTCCCAATTGCCACTCAAGTAAGGATGCTGCTTTGGCTCATCTGTACTTGTGTTTAAGAAGCAGTTAAAACGGTGAGTGAAAGACTATTGGCACATTAGGTAAAATGATTTGGACAGGCTTTTCAAATGGCTTGGACGTCAGCTGTCAGGGCTACTTCCTGGAGTAGAGTGCATGATGTAGGTCAGGTGAGCCCTCTGCTCTCCCAGGGGTCAGTGTACATAGTTCAGTTTGGACTTTCGCTCAACAGAGTGTTCACAGAGGGCAAAAGCAATGTTGGCAGCAGCCCATGAGCACCTTTTCCAAAGCACTTTGGTATCTGTTATTACATTTTATCATATTGAAATGGGCAAGGCAAGTCCAGATTTTCAAGTTGAGGAAACCAAGGTTAAGGTTCCACAGCAAGTTAGTGGCAGTGGCAGACTTAGGACCACATTCTCCAGACTCCTTGTCCTGTGCTCATTTGGGAAAAGGCAGGATGAATGCCAGCTTGCCAAGCAGAAGAATCATCCAGCAACCTGGCATCTCCTGTTGCACAGCTCACACTCATGGTGGCTCATTCTGCTATGTCGACGCTGTCTTTGTGCAGCCAGCTGAGGCAGGGCCCAGAAGTGACTTGCCTGGCCCAGCCTCCCCTTCCCTTCCAGTATGTGCTTCTGCTCCCAGGTGCTGCTGGACGAGGAGAGAGAAGCCATGGCGAAATCCCGCCGGTTGGAGCGAAGCACCAGTAGCTTCAGTTACTCCTCTTACCACACCCTGGAGGAGGTGGGTCTGCCCCGTCAGGCTCTAGACCCTGCTGTCCTCTTGGACCCTCGGGTTGTCCAGACTCACGGCTCTGGGGCTATAGGAGACTGTGAGCTGATGCCTGGAGAGTGTAGAACAGACACTGGGAGAAAGTTATTGATGTCTGAGATAAATAATCCTGCCTTCGAGAAGCTTAGAATCTAAAAGGGACAGGATGACGAAAAGCAACACTGCAAGGACTATGAGATCTGTAAGTGGATTGAAGGGGCCAATAAAATGGAAGTAAGAGAAACTTCCAGCCAGAGAGAGCCTTGCAGGCTGACCCTAGGGGACTGAGTAGGCTCAGCACATGCTGCTCTTCCAGGCAAAGGCATAGCACTGCACGGAGGTGAAAAGTCTGGGAATCCAAGCTGACCACAGCTCCTGCCTTAGACCTGGAGGTAGTCTTTGATTTTTGCAGTTCTTTTAGGTCCTCAAGGGAGGTGGGAAAGCATTAAAGAGGGTGGTAGGATCAGGGAAGGAGAATATTCAGAGAGACCCTGGGGTTTGCTCCCTCCCCACTTAACTGCCCATCTGAGAAACTTCATTCCTTTCAGATCTATACCTGGATTGACAACTTTGTAACTGAGCATTCAGATATTGTCTCAAAACTTCAGATTGGCCACAGCTTTGAAAATCGGTCCATCCTTGTTCTGAAGGTAAAAGCTGGCAGTGTTGACCACTAGACTGTACAGTGAGTGCCTCTGGCATAAGACTGAGCTCATGTGCGGTTGTGGCTGGGCAGGAGTCAGCCAGTCTGTTTAGGGAGAGAGATGTGTACGCTCCTGTCCTGAGGTGATGCACAAGCTTTGGGATGGTAGTGTTCAGGGACCCACCCCTTGTAGGTGTGGACAGTTGGCAGTGCAGTGACCGGGGCATGTCCTGGGTCAGGAATCTGGTGGGAGGTTTGTTAAGGAGATGGAACTGCAGAATGGCAGTCATCACCTTGAACTTGGGATGTGAGTGTGAGTGAATCAGCATTCTTCCTGTTAACTCAGCTGCTTCATCTGGTCAATGGGAAGAGAGGTACACAGAAGCCTCATTTACAAATGACTGAGGCCCTCTGGCTTAGGCAGCCCCACGGATAGGCCTGAGTCTATGAGACCTTCTAGCCCTTCACAGAGCCCACTGGAAACAGGGTTCCATAAACTTAGTGGCAGCAGTGCCCTTGGCCATGAAGGCGGCAGGATAGGTGGAAGTGTGAAGCATACCGGAAAACAATTCTTCGTATGTGCCCTGAAGTGCACTCGGGAGTGTGGACCACGCAGGTCATTTGACATACAGCTGTCAGAGAAGACAGACACTGCTGTCCTCAGAAGTGCCCTGGGGGACTCTTCTGAAGGGCCATTTGGTCTTGGCTAACGCGGGACTTGACTTCACCTGTGCCTTCTATGATTTCTCATAAGGGCTGGCTGTGTTCTCTCTTTAATGTTGTCTAAGCTCTCGCTACTCAGGGTAGCCCCCGGACCCGCAGGAGCAGCATTTCTGAGTTTGTTAGAAATTACCAACCTCACCTTCCAGAACTACTACATCAGAATCTGCATTTTAGTAACATCCCTGGAGGATTCACATGTCCTTGAAAGTTTGAGAAGCACTAGTCTAAAACACTTGCAGACCTGGGCAATTCTGTGCTTCTGACTAGATCAATTTGCCCTGCAAGAGCATCACTATGTTGCCAAGGTCCCCACATGTGTGCACTTTCCACGGGCTCCTACACATGTACCTGCTCATATGACCCCCCTCTCAGGAACAGGGAGCCACCCCAGGCACTGAAGATAAATCTGGGGCCTCCTTCCAGGCAGTCTGGGGACAGCCCTGTAGCTGTTGTGGTTCAAATTTGTGTGGGGCCTGGTGCTTTTCCCCAGTTCAGCACTGGAGGTTCTCGGCGCCCGGCCATCTGGATTGATTCTGGAATACATTCCCGGGAGTGGATCACCCATGCCACCGGCATCTGGATTGCCAGGAAGGTCAGCATGGACCGTGGGAGCTGGGATGGGGTGGAGGGTTGGAGCGGCTCAACTATTTAAGGGCGCCTCCAGTTGAAAACTTACTTGGTTCATCTGACCTGGGGTGCTTTCTGCACACCTGCCCTGTGGAACAGCTGCTGTGAGTTCTGGCCATTTGCGGCCCAGAGCCCCCACCTTCTAGTTGTTGAAAATCCAAGCTTTCGGTTCTTCACAAGGATGAGCCTGATGACCTGATGCCATCCCTGCCTGTAGCCAGTGGCTGTACTGATGTCCTGCTCTCCTCTGGAGGAGAGCCCACCAGGGCTTCCTGTCCCTCAGTCTATACCCACTCGGCCCTTTCTTGCAGATTGTCAGTGAATACGGCAAAGACCGCGTCATAACAGATGTACTGAATGCCATGGACATCTTCCTGGAGATCGTCTCTAATCCCGATGGGTTTGCTTATACCCACAGCATGGTGAGAGCACCTGAGAGGGAGGGGCTTAGGGATCGGGGTCAGCTCTGGGGGGGATGGGGGAAAGAAAGGTCACGGTGGCTTTGGGATGCTCTGCTGAGGTTCCCTGGGAACAGACCCTTTGGGGGCTCCTTGCAGCATCTCAGTGAGGCAGGCGGGCTGCTCAGGTGCTGTGGCTGCAACTGTTGCCCTCCGACTGCCCAGGGAAGTCCACTGTTACTTGGCTGTGCTCAAGCTTCTTGCCATACCCCAGCTTTAACCACAAAGCATTTGATCTGCAGCCGTGGCTCAGTATGCCAGCCCCATCCTGCCCTAGAGATTCCTTCCTTTCATCCCTCCCTGTTCCACCAGACCCGCTTCCTAGACGAGGATGTCAGAGGCTCCCACCCAGAAAGGGCTCAGTGAGTGAGTCACCTGCCCTGTGCTTTTTCAGAACCGCTTGTGGCGGAAGAACAAGTCCAGTAGACCGGGGATCTTCTGCATTGGTGTGGATCTTAACAGGAACTGGAAGTCAGGCTTTGGAGGTACCTCAGTCTGCTGCATCCGGGGGCAGGGCTGGAGAGAACTTGGTCCTTGGCACGTCTCCCACACAGTCAGATTATGTTGACGCATAAACGGGGAGGTAGAGCACTTAGCTAATGCGAGTGAGTCATGGCCAGGGACAGGTGGGCACATGCCTAGGATTATATATGGGGAGAGTTTGCATATGTCTGTTAAATGTATACATAAGTTAAGCCTTCGTGGGAATCATCTCCTTGAATGGGGACTAACTGCAAGGATCAGATCTTAAATATGGCAGAGAAAGGCTTAAGGAGGTCCACAGTAGTCTTGCTTGTTGTTCAAAACCCAGGATTTATGGTGCCCCCTGAATATCTCTAGCCCTTCCTTGAAGGGAGTATGCCACAAGAAAATGTCTCAAAACTCATTCCCTGAGAACTATGACCTAAATTTTGCTCTCTGGGGAGGCCAGGACCAAGGTTTAAATATAGAATAAGCTGGTTTCTTATCATCAACACTGACTTAAGCCTGGCTTTTATTTTCGGTCCAATTACTTTGTGACCCTGGGCTGTTGTGTATCCACAGGGCCCTGTGATCCTAGGGAGGAGTGGGCAGCTTCCTCCTGAGTTCCCTTGGTGTTCTTGTTATCTCCCTTGCCATGCCAGGGACATAAGGACCACATGGGGAAACTGAAACAGAGACCAGTATGAGAACCCGGGGAATGTAGCAGCTTGATGGGTAGGATGCTGGGTCTAACCAGGACAGTCTCCAAAGCGGAGGGTTGAATAGGTATAGCCCTTGGCCTCCAGATGTGGCTGCCACACTATACCAGGAGTCAGAGTTTAGCTCCACAGGAGACAGTGCTATTGAAAAACAGATCTGCAGACCTGTTTGTTGGCTAACCCAACAAGGCAGAACGTTCTAGATCCAGATGCCCATTGTTTGAAAATCTGGCTTCTTTGAATCCGTTCTGTGAAAATAAGGATAGCTCTGAAGTCTACAGAGCAAAGCCATCAGCCCATAGTGTAGGGGTTGCCTGAGAATCGGGGTTGTACTTGTAACTGCTTGTGTAAGGAAACACAGCTGTGTAAAATTAGGCATTTCCATCTCCAAATAACCAGACATTTGTCCCAAGAAAGCATCCACATGGGCCCCTTAGAACTGGCTGAAGTGAGTGCCTATCTACGCTGAGACAGACTGGCTAGAAGAAAGACAAATTACCTCTTAAAGAAAATATCTTTTGTGGGTTTCACCGCAGGGGGGGGGGGAAATCAGTATATACACAATGTGGGGAAAAAAAAAAAGCCCAGAGGGGACAAAAAGCTCCCATAATCCCACTGCCCAAAGATTACTGCTTTTAATAATTTACCGTGTCCTTCCAGCGAGTTCCCCTTGCTACAAATTACATTTTTGAGAAGGAAAAATAAATAGCTAATGAATCCATTAGCAGGTACTTGTGAAACAGGCAGGCTCGGAGGACTTTGACTGTGAACGTCAGAGAGAGGCAGGCAGCTAATTCCCATTTGGTCAGGGGAAGATTAGTTTATTCTGCTTAGCTCAAACCAGAACTAATGGCCTGAAGTGTTTCTCCATATTTGGGCAAAGCCACCTGGTCGTTGGCAGGGGAACCGCTTTCCATGCGTGGGCTGCAAACCAGACAAAGCTTGCAGCCTCCCCTGCTCTGCTCATCTGTTGCTATTTGTCATTCATCAAGTGTAGCAGGTGCAGAAGCTCCCAGCAGACACAACAAACAGGGCCGCTGTTAGCTGGGCCAGCTCCAGCCCACCAGGCTGCTCCTACCCCTTCGTTCCCTGCAGGCACACCCCCTTCCAACCAGGGTCAGTCCTCACCCCTGGTGAGGTCGTACAGACCAAGAGGGGATGCGCTTCCAGGTGACAGAATTGCCTCTGGGCCTGCCTGTGGCCAGAAATAGCGAGTATCTGGTTAGTGACTCAGGCTGGAAGATTTTGTTTATGGCTTTATTATTGCCTTAATTTGATTTCTGCATAATGAGTAATCTGTAGATCATCCTTCCCACCTGTACCCCCCTCACCTGCACCCTTGGAAAGCACCTGTTTGCTGCGGTCCTAGAACAGCATCTGAACCGGTCCATGGGCCAGCCCCCCAGGTCTGCAGCCAACTCATTGCCCTGGGGGTCAGGGGGTGCTCTGGCATCCTCAGGAGGTTTCAGAAGTTGGGCAGCCCCTGGCTTCTGGCCGGGCTTCTGTGCAGTCATTTCAGGGAGGAGAAGTGAGAGCAGGGCCTGGGATGCTCCTTTCATGTGTTCCTAATCCCCAGATCTTGACCAGCCCAGCCTAGCCCTCCATCAACTGGCCACTGAGGAGGAGAGGAAAACAAGAGAGGAAGAAAAGAGATGGGGAGCAAAGAATCTAGTAGGAGATGGGAACAAATGAAATTTGTGAGCAAAATAGAGGCACAGTTGCTCTTTGCCCTCCTTTCAACTTAGGTCCCCATTCAGAAGAATTTTCAAGAATTTTTTTGCATCTGTGCTTCCCAGATCAGTCTTAGGCAACTATGGTGATCTATTCTCTCTTTTCCCAGGTCCAAGCCCATGCTGTCCTTGGGTTGGCACAGCTTGTGCAGACACTCTATCTGAGCACTCAACTGACCCAAGCCTTCCCCATGGAAGTGGAGGGTTGGCAGAGAAGGTTCAGCTCACAGAGGTCACTGCTCATAGGGGAAGCCAGGTTGGAGACCTAGTGGCAACTGCTGAGGCAGGCCTGACTTTCGAATGGAACCACAGTCAGGACTTAACTGAAAAACAAGCTAAGGGAGCATCCTGCAGGGCCACAGAGTTGCTGAGTTGTGGTGTGGCAACACTCTGATGTTTTAGACCAGGGTATGCAGCAGTAACAAGCATCCCTCCAAGTCTCAGTGGCCTAACACAGTAAAAAATTTATTTTTCATGTCCATAAAGTCCACTGTGGGTAGGTGGCCCTCCTTGATGGCTGTCTTCCATTGATGACAGAGAGATCCAGGACACTTCTCCATTTAGAGGTTTTTTGTTTTTGTTTTTTGCTTTAACCACACAGAAGAGAGTGTCGAGAAGTCGTACTTGCTCTTAGCCTCAAACTAGCAGTGACACATCATTACTGCTCACGTCCTCATTGGTCAAATGTAGCCACATAACCTCAACCAAACTGCAAAGAAGGCTAGGATTAGAGAGGAATACAGAATATTTTGTGAGATTCTTTCCCATGGTTGGGAATTTGAACCCTGTGGGTGCCTTTATTCTACTTCCAGGAAATGGTTCTAACAACAACCCCTGCTCAGAGACTTATCATGGGCCCTCCCCTCAGTCAGAGCCAGAAGTGGCTGCAGTCGTGGACTTTATCATGTCCCATGGGAACGTCAAGGCTCTGATCTCCATCCACAGCTATTCTCAGATGCTCATGTACCCCTATGGCCACTCTCTGGAGCCTGTTTCAAACCAGGAGGAGTTGGTGAGATTGGCTGCTTAGGGCTTGGGGGAGGCACCCAGCAGACTCTCAACTGGCCCCCTGGTAGGGAGCAGGGTGGGGGTGAGGGGCTTGTTTTCACGTGTGATCAAGTTCACAACTGGAGATGCTTTGCTTCCTTCCCGCAAGAGCCATCTACACATTCAATTTCCAAGATGCCTAAGTCCCTGTTTCTCAGCACCTGGTGAGGGTGTGTGTGATGGGGTGGGGACCCACTGCCTCTCACTCTCTGGATTGAATCTTGCAGTACCATCTTGCCAAGGATGCAGTGCAGGCCCTGTATGAGGTTCATGGGATCGAGTACATTTATGGCAGCATCAGTACCACCCTCTGTGAGTGAGCCGTCCCCTGGCTGCTGCTCCTGCAGGCGCCACATCCACCTGGGCTCAGGCAGGTGTAGGCTCTGCTGCCTGGCAGGCCTGCTTGGCCACAGGGCTGTGCCACAGATGCAGTGGGTCTGGGACAGAGCTGATTTCCACATCTGAATACAAGGGTGAATGGTGATCCCTAGACCCAGCACCCACTTCTCTGCAGCATTAATTAGTGCACAGCCCCTGATGGCTGGCTCACTGTGATGCCCCCTAGGGGTAAATATCCTAAGTCTGGTGGCCTCCAGGAGCTTTCATTTTGCTAGAGCAGAGCATGCATTGGATGAGCAGGGTGTGGTCTGGGATGGGTGGGGGTTTGGCCTCCAAGGCCCACTGTCTTTGCAGGAAGCCTCTGTACCTTGTGAACATACCCTGTTCTTCCTTTTGGGGGGCATTTCTTTGCGACTTCACTTCACTTCACTTCTTTGCCCTTTTGTCCCCAGATGTGGCCAGCGGGATCACAGTCGACTGGGCCTATGACAGTGGCATCAAGTACTCCTTCAGCTTTGAGCTCCGGGACACAGGGCGCTATGGCTTCCTGCTGCCCGCCGCGCAGATCATCCCCACGGCCCAGGAGACGTGGATGGCCATTCGGACCATCATGGTGCACACACTGCATCATCCCTACTGACAGCACTGCTGAGGGGAGAGCCAGAGGGGTAGTTTTCTTTTCCGAGGCCTGGGCTCCTCCTGAAACCCAAGTTATGGATCCCTTCCCCATCCCTGCCCTGACTCCTTAGGAAATAAAAACAAATTTGAAGAGGCTCGGTGACTTCTGGTGCTGGCTGCCACCCCTTTGGGCTCAGGAAGGGACAGGGGCCTTGAAAATGCCTCTTAGCCTCCTAGGTACCCAGGAGGAAGGCGAGACTAGCAGGCATTCCCTTTCCTCCGCTTACAATGGGCTCAGGGCCCAAAACAGATAACACACTCCTTGAAGCTACTAATATCCACATTATCCCTTTGGCACTTAAATGTTAAGAGGACCCTGGAAGGGGCAGTGTGTGATCTGAAGGAGTGGATCTCCAGGGGTGGCATTTCTGGCACCCTGAGTGAGAGGTGGGTACAGACATGCAACCTCCTCTTCCTGCCGCATTTTCCATCCTGGGTAGGGAGGAGTTGTTCATTTTGGAGTGACCTGTTCAGAGTCCCCCATTTCGTCACCCGGATAACAAAAGTGAACAAGTCGCTGGTTTGTGACCTACTCTTCCTGGGCACCCTCATAGGCTCCCTTGGTCTTGGGAGCGGAGTTGCAGCCAGTCAGAGCCAGTATAGCAAAGCACTGCAGATCCAGAAAGAGAGGTCCTCTTTCTCCTCACCATAGTCATCATGGTTGTTGTGCACTGAGAAGTTAGTCCAGGCAAGGCCATTTACTGAGAAAGCACTTTATCTCAAGGAGAGAATCTAAGACATAAATGAGCTGCCTTCTCCCACCCTCAGGCTCCCTTGTACCTTTTGCGTTACCCCATCACTGGGGAGCAGGGATAATGGGTCTGTTTGCCCTGCCTTCAGGGGCAAACAGGCACCCCCAAGAATAGGAGGTCAGCTAGAGAGCTGAGTGGGCTTGTGTAAGTCTGAGGCAGAAAGCAAGACCTTCATTTGCAAGGGCCAGACTTTTGTTTTGTTGTTGCTAAAGGACTGTGGGTACCAGAGAATGGATACATGTATGTGTATGGCTGAGTCACTCTGCTGTGCAGCTGAAACTTTCACAACTCCAATATAAAATAAAAAGTTAAAAAAAACCCCAGAACTGTGGGTACCCAAGAATCAGCCCCTGCAGGACACAGAGTGCAGGGTTTTACAGACAGGGAAGAAATGGGGGGTGATGGGAATAAAAGCAAGTTCTACTTCCCACCCAACCTGTAGAAGAAGACAGAAGCTGGACCAGTTAGTGGAAAGAGAGCATCAGTGGTAATCACAGCTCTAGGTATGGGCCATGTCCAATATGGTGCCTGAGCCAAAGATTAACAGTGGCTGAGCAGGGGTTCTGGACAGGTGATTAGAGGCAGCCATATGGCTGGGTGCACATCAGTAATGCAGCTGTTGAGAGCTCTGAGCAAAGAAACGAGGTTGGCAGGTGAGAAGGCCTAGGTTAGAGGCAAGCAGGCTGAGCTGACGGGCCATGCAGCCAGTGGCCGTGATGGCACGGTGGGCATGCCTGTGTCCAGGGCCAGCTGTACCTCGATCATCTCCAGGAAAAGGGCCAGCGACCGAGGGGGAAAGAATCCTGACTCGGGCTACAGTTTCCCAAAAGAGACTTGAGTTTTTGTGTTTTTTAAAGCTGGAAGCAACCTAGAATTTCCAAGCTGAATTTTTCTGCTATTAACAGAAACCCGAGGCTGGTTGGCTAAGTTAATATAAGCTATAGATAAATAAAGCAAGTCATACTTTTGCACACTGGAGTCTGTGATTATAACTTTTATGCCCTTTGCACAAATATTTTTATTTCAGCCTTGAGGGGAGGATATTCCTGGTATATAGACTCATTAATAAGCTCAGATAAGGAGAGCATGATTTGGAGAGGTTTTAAAGGTCATAAAGGGCCACACAGATTGAAAGTTGGAGATTTGAACTTGGGTTTGTCTAACTCCAAACCCACCAAGTTACCATTTGTCTTAGTGTGGCCCGGGGCAGAATCTTTAGGGAGTCATTTAACATAAAGGTGGTTAGGTTCCACCCCAAGACTGAAACAGACTCTCTGGGGTGAGCCCCCAAGTCCACCTTTTTACCATCTTGTCCAGAAGGTCTGAGGTTTCTTAAAGGCTGAGGACCTCTGATCCCTGCTCCCCTCACTCCCCTGACTTAAAGGAACATGTTCAAGTCTCCCAAGGACACCTGGGGCTTTGGGCCTCCTACCTTCTACTGCTATTAAGGCCGGAGGTGGCTACAACACTGGGGAGCCAATCACCCTTCTCCAGAATACTTCCCAGGGGCTGCCTTGACCTTAGCCTAGTGCAGTATAGTCTTCAGACCACAAGCATCAGCATCACCTGGGAGCTTGTTGGAACAATAGATTCTCCAGCCACCCCAGCCCTCCTGAACCAGGATCTCTGAGGAGAGGACCCAGGTGATGCTAAAGCCTAGTCAGAGAAGCACTGTCCTAGAAGCAGCAGGATCTGGACTTTGATGGGCTTCCCAGTAACAGTGAAAATAATCAACTCTCTCTGGCACATACTACACACCGGGCATGTTTCCAAGGATTCAACCCATTGCCTCCTCACGGCTCCAAGAGGTAGGACTATTACTGTCTTTCATTTTCCAGAGGAGGAAGCTCAGACTCAGACTGGACATTGGCTTTTAAAAGGCACACAGCTACTGAGTGGCAGGCCTGGGACAGGCCTGCAGGTGACCCTAGTGATGCTCAAAGCTCTTCAGGACCAGGGCCAGGAACTCATTCTCACAGCCACGTTGGCAAGATCTCTGTGCAGCCAACAGGCCCTCTGAAGTTGAAGCTGAAACTGCTTTCCAGAGGGGGGGTCTTCTTAAAAGGTAACTTTTCCCTTAAAAATCCTTCAATGACTTAAAACCCGCCCAAGGTACTGCATGGCTGGCCCCACCAGGCCCTACGAGGCGGCCAGCCTTGCCTCCCCTTTGTTTTAATGCCTTGTTCATCAGCCCCAGCCTCACCAGTTTTCTCTCAGTTCCTTCAGCTCCTTCCCAGCTAGAGGCCTTGCACGTGTTGCTCCTCCTTGTCTGGAATATTGTTTCCTTTTCTTCTTCCTTCATGTGTCCCACTCCTTAAGATTTCCCCTTCAGTATAATTTCCTCACTAGTCCTTCTCAGAGCACCCACTGGAAGTAGATCTATTATTTCCTTTTCTCAAGCCTTATTTATTTCTTTGGGTGAACTCTGGGAGTTGGTAATGGGCAGGGAGACCTGGCATGCTGCAGTCCATGGGGTTGCAAAGAGTCGGACATGACTGAGTGACTGAACCGAACTGATTCATTTCTTTGACAGCAGTGATACTGATTGACTTCTTTATCTGTGGTTCTGTCTCCTGCTATTTGAGAGCCTATGAGGGGACTGACCATGTCTGGGTTATTCCCTCTGGCTCGGCTCCTGTCAGGCACACAGTAGGTACTCAGTATTGAAGGGGTGTTTCTTCTCTTCAGCCTAGTGTGGGTTTAGCATAGGTGACAGAAATCCATCTTGCTGCTGCTGCTGCTGCTGCTAAGTTGCTTCAGTCGTGTCCGACTCTGTGCGACCCCATAGATGGCAGCCCACCAGGCTCCTCCATCCCTGGGATTCTCCAGGCAAGAACACTGGAGTGGGCTGCCATTTCCTTCTCCAATGCATGCATGCATGCTAAGTTGCTTCAGTCATGTCCAACCCTGTGTGATCCCATGGACAGCAGCCCACCAGGCTCTTCTGTCCATGGAATTCTCTAGGCAAGAGTACTGGAGTGGGTTGCCATTTCCTTCTCCAAACCCGTCTTACTGTGGCTTAACCAGATGAAAGTCTTGTTTCTCTTAACAAGTCATCTGAGGTAGGCAGTCCAGCGCTAGTTCAGTGACTCCGTGATGCACTGGGGACCCAGACCCCTGTGGCCTGTTCTGTTTTGCCACTCTGCTATCCTCTTGACCGATAGTCTGTCGCCATCATATGACTGAATTCCAGACAGGAAGGGTAAGGGGCTGAGCTGACCGTCCATATGGACTTAAATGTATGTCTTATTGGCTGGGACAGTCAGGTGGCCATACCCACCTGCAAGAGAGGCTGGAAAGTTGCTATCTAGCTGGTCACATTGCTGACCCTCCCCGCAAATTTGGAGTTCTGCTGGCAAGGAGGAAGGGGAGTATGGATATTGGAAAGGCAGCCGCAGACTCTGCTGCAGCTTCTCTGAGAGGGCAGAGGATTTTCAGGGGCCTCTGAATCCATTCCTTTGCTCTAGCTCATCAAGTTTCTGACTTAATCATAAAGCCATAGAACTTTCCAGCTTAAGGAGTCCTTTGAAAGTTTCTAATCCAACACTTTGCAGTTATAAAGATTGGAGGCCTTTGGATCATCCGAGTTACATAAGGCCCCACATAAACTTAATGGCTGAGAGAAGCCAGGGATCATCCCCCTGGGACTGAGGGGTCTCTTCTAGCAAGCCCAGGGGTGTGATGGCAGGGTTGGGGGGCAGTTTAGGTTTATCAAGTAAAAGCTCAAGACTTAGACATGCAAGTTTGGAATTATTACAAATAATATTCTATTATAGAATAATATTATAAATAGAATCCAATATTCTATTACAGAATAATCTCTTTTTCATAAAACTTGAACTCCCCCCCGCCCCATTTCTTAGGTATATAATACTAAACAAGACTTTTTTCTCCCCTGCATTCTGCTTGTTTTTTTCTCCCAACAGACTTTCCTTTTTTGGTATGTTTTTTCATCCTTTTCACCAGAAAAATTTATGAGCATTTATTTGAAAGAAAAAAAACATTGGAAAAACTGAAGGGAGAAAGAGCGATTATACATATGGAAAGCTATAAAGAACCACAGTGAATGTGCTGTGGTTATTGCTTTCTTAGAAAAACAAACTAGGCAGGCAGTTTGGAATGTGAAAGAGTCCTGTGTGAGGGCAGGGCAGGAGGCAGGGGCCAAGGGTGATGGGCTAATGGCTGGGGTCCTGGGAGTCCAGTGAGGTGC